GCTGATCAACGGAGACGAGGGGCAGCTTGGAACATAAGTACTCAAAAGGAACTGGCGGAAGCGGTTTGGTAAGAATGTCTGCTAGCTGCTCTGAGGAGGAAACATGATGTGGAGTCATAGTGCCTGCCATAACCTCATCTCGTACAAAGTGACAGTCTGTGCCCACATGCTTCATGCGATCATGAAGAACCGGATTTTGAGAGCCTTAGCTCTGATACCATGATACAATTTGATAATAACTTGTCTTATTGAATATTGAGAGATATGGCCCTATATATAGGGAATACAAGAGTAATCAAAGTACAAGTAGGAAAGGAAAGAATAATCCTAGTAGGAAAGGAAAGAAGTATCCTAATTTAATTATACTTCCTAATAAAACATGTTGAACCCGAAGGCTCCTGGACGGGCCCGCTATAAGAGGCACACTACGCCTAACCCCTTAAGCGGTTACGCCATGATATGAATGATTCCTATATCATGTGTCTATTCATGAATGATGAGATGAATGATGACACAACTTGGAAATTAAACCATGAATACATCACACAATATATCACTCATACAGTAGGTAGTGTCTATGATATTGTTCAGTAAGGTGTTTGTGGTCAATACATCACACAATGTATCATTCATACAGTGCTACGATCGGCACCACACCTCACGAATGATCGAACGGACTTGTTCCTCCTCTCTTCTTCTTCTTTCTTTCTTTCCGTAATCCTCCTTCCTCATCGCGGCTGCTGCTGCTCGTCCAAGGCAAAGGGGGTGGAGGAGTGTTGGGAGTTGAGTGGTTGTGGTGGAGAAAACAAAGAGAAGGAAACGAGAGTGGTGAATGAATGTAAGTATGGTACCGTTACTGGTGACGGTACCGCCGGTACGCCTACCGTCACTGACGACCGTCCCGCTGCTCCAGTTCTAGGGAACCAGTACCGGCACCGCCACCCACGGTACCGGTTCCACTGTTAGTTTTTCGGTACCGACATCGGTGGTGCCGGTTCCGGTACCCATTTTTTTTAATGCTTTGGCAGACCACCTGCAAAAAACAAAGCAACCATTAGGGGGGAACCGAGATTGGCTCTTGGCAAGACGTCGAGGTCAAGAGTCACGATACGAATTCAATTCTGAACATTACATGAACGCAACCATAGATGGAATCCCTAGTTCTGAGGAATAAGTTATAAACTTTTTTTATGTTAATGTAATTATTTTTTTAGGTGAGCGATATATAAGCTCTTTCGAGGGTTTCTTTACGATTCTTTACCCCGTCGCTTTTTTTGAACTGTCAGGATATTAAATGTAGTTGTTCGTGTTTTAGTATTACTTATTTTTCAATATTTAAATAACAACTTCATTTTTAGATATTTTATTTCATTATTTGATTTATTTCCTTTAACAATCACACATTTACACTTTTAAAAATTAAAAAAGGGGGGGGGGGTTGCCGAAACCGGTACCGTCCGGTCGGTGACGATAACGGTATCATGAGATGGCGGTACCAGAACCGGCAGTTCCGGAATCGGAACTGTCCTGGAACTGTATCGTGTCCACCCTTACCTAGACTTACGTGTAAACGAACATATTGGATAAAGAGAGGTTTATACACATGTTGTGTCTGTAAGATCAAACTTTCTATTTCATAAAAAGAAGCATACCATATTTTTTACAAGACGGATAGTCTGTTGCATGTAAGTTAAAAAGTTTCATATCTTATTAACATGCAAAATCATACCAAATATTTTATAAGAGGGGTGTTGAACTGCATATAAGTCAAAATGATTCCTAGGTTATTGGGGCCATTGTCAAGTCATTTTCTTAAGTGCATGTGTGTGTGTGTTAAGTAATACTCCCTCCATCCACCTAAGATCTTCCCAAAAGAAGCATGTGATGTGGGATCGTATCGAGGAGAAGTTCTTCACGGCGATGAACAAGGAAGGCTCCTACCGTACCCGGGACGTACCAACTCACTTCCAAATGGAGCCACATCAGCCATAAAGTCCGAAAGTTTATCGGAATTTATGAGGAATGCGCCCGGTCTCGGAGGAGCGGGACGAACGACGCTGATGTTCTCCGGCTTGCCACGGCCCGGTATCAAGATGACGGGCACCAAGGCAAGGTGCCCATCGATCTTTGGAGGATTTTGAGGCGTTCACCGAAGTGGCAACAACTCAACAATTCCGACGGTGGATCGTCAAAGAAAAGATCCTCCATCGACATCGAGGTTGAGGTCGACGACACTATCAGTTCGTCCGAACAAAGGCCTCCCTTCAACGTTACAGATTTCGATGACGAGGACTCCATTCCACGGCTCTGTTTCTGCAAGGTGTGGCTCTGTTTCTGTTTCTTCTCACGATGATATCAGTCGGGCGATGGTTGAACAACTTCGGGTGTTCAATATTCGAGAAGAAGAGAGGATGAAGCGAAAGGAAGAGAATGAAGAGATTGAAATAATGGAAACCGACCTTTCGACGTTATCGGGTTTCAAACGTATGATCTACGAGAGAAGATAAAAAGAGATCAAGGCCAAATATAATTTACCTTAGTTTTTTTTATTAATGTTTTTTTTATTATTGTCACTTTCTTTTTTTTAATTTAATGAATGTAATTTTTTTAAATTATTATCACTTCAATTTTTTTAATTTAATGAATGTAATTTTTTTAATTATTTTTGTTTCAATATAATTAAATAATAAAATAATTAAAATTTATTAATTTAGTTTTATAAGATGTATATTAAAAAATGTAAAAAATAAAGGTTTAAAACTCTTGTTTGAACCCAGGGCTTCAAATCCATTTAAGGCGGACAGAGAAAATTTGAAAGTATTTCCCGTGCTATGAGCCTCTTCTTGTACTAAATTGGGCCGGTTAACGCCCGGGTCAAAATACAACCGAACCCTAAACATCTAATCAGAGATCTTTTCACTCTTCCGTTTTCCTTCAGTCGTTCGTCGTGCACCTCAGGTAATTTTCTCCTCTGCTTCGATTTCAAGCCTTTTTTATATCTTCTCGAACGAAAAATTAATTTCGTTACACTATCCACACCTGAAACGAAACTAGTACCCGTAGTTTCCATCTGCAAATAAATTTATAGATCTAGGACAAAAAAAAATTTGAATTACTACTCATTTGATTTTACACTAAAACCCTGAATTTTTGAAGATGTGAATGAGACGCCATACATATCCTCTCTTTTTCTCATTTCGGATAAGTATTTGCATTGTTTCTTTGTTTTTTTTTTTCAAATTTGCAACTGTACATACCCCATCCTTTTCAAGAATAAGTGCCTGATTTCACTTCAGAATGTAGAAGAAAAACATTGAAGGAAATAGCAAAAATGTGGATTTACTTTTTGTACAACATGGAAAAGGGGAGCATGCATTTGTTTTAGGAACAAAGGTATATATTTTAGTAGTACCGAGTATGTTTGTTTTTTACCTGTGTTTGCCAGTTCTCTTAAATTACTTCGTACAATGTTTTTATTTTAGGTTTTAATATTCCTCATTACATTGGTGAATTTGCATTCGTTATCATGTTCTTTTAATTGCTCAGCAAAAGGAAAGTTTTGTTAAGAAATATAAACTTTTTTTTCAATATACTGCATATAGTGAGAAAACCAAGTATTTCAAAGCTTTTATTATTAGCAGATTTGGGCAGAATTATCAAACCTCTTCTTGATACACTTTTCATTTTAGCAAGAAATCATTATAATTTCAAAGTAGTTGCACAAAATGCACCTAAGTGAATACAATCTCACACAACAAAGTTAACACTGCTAGTGTTTCACAGACAATAATTTCTCATGATGAGTGTGCGTGATTGTCTTTGATGGTGTCAACCTTGGTGTCATCACTGGGGTTGAAAGTAGCATTTTCTGTTAGACTTATACTAACAGTAACAGTTGAACTCACCATATTTAAAACCCTAATTCAAAATCTGTACAGGGACTTGCACATCTTCATTGTCTCTTCACACTATTGTTAACAAAGTTTCAATATATTCTGTAAATGGCCTCTAGTCTCTAGAGTTTCAAAGTTGCCTCCATTCTTTTCTCAAGGCTCCGCTCCCATAGCCTTACATCATTATTGTCTCAAGCATTTTGCACAGCGATAGAAACCCAGGCCCAGAAACTGGAGTGCATTGCCAGGAACCTCCATGACAAGCTAATTTTTCTCAGCTTATACTGTTTAAGCTTCACAAGACCCAGAAATTTCACTGTTTAAGCTAATTTTTCTCAGTTTATATTGATATGAAAAACAATTTTTAGCTGCTTTTTTTTTTTTTTAAATCGTCACCAAGTATTTAGATCTACGGTGAAAGGTTTCAAATCTAAAATGCTTTTCGGATATATGTACGGAGTATGAAACATTGCTCTATAGATCTTACATTCACTTTTCGAATGAATATTTGCTTTCTTCTAGTGTATTCGTTGCGATTTTAATATTCTTGTATGTATCTGCTTATACAATTCATTTTTTCATTCTTTGTTTTTGTTTCCAATCTGTTATTTACTAAACAGGTTATTGTGAAGCCACTAAGAAATAATCTTCTGCCATGAGGTAATTTCTTCATATCCTAATGTTGATTTAAATTCTTATTTTTGCTCTTTTGTCGAATGGGTTTTGGTGTTCTTAAGGCTTCCCATGTTTTAAGTCTTTGGATCATAACATCTGAGAAACCATTTGACCTTAACATTTGACCTTTAACATAAGCATTATTTACCTGGCAGAGAGTGAATTTATTTGTAGCATTAGGAAATTAGATATATTTAATATTTTCTTAGACAAATGCCTGTGTATTTTTTTTGTTTAATATTCCTTGTATCAGCTCATCTTATTGGTAAAAAATTGAACTTGTGGCTGCTTTTGGTCTCGGTGCTCTCACTTTGTTAGTGCCATTTTTTTACTCTGTCTGCATTTCTATGTTTGATCCGGGGTTTTTTGGAAACCTTTGTACTTTTGAGTGGAGGTAAGGTTTGCATACACACCCTTCCCCAACCACACTTCTTGTAGAATTTTACTGGGTTTGTTGTTGTTGTGAGTTCTTTTGGGGATTTCGATTCTGATGTGTGTGATGTGGTGGTTATTTGTTACCAGTAAATTACAAAGTGATGCAGTGAGAGAGGCAATCTCCACAATAAAGGGGGATTCTGCTGAGAAGAAACGCAACTTCACTGAGACAATTGAGCTCCAAATTGGCTTGAAGAACTATGATCCCCAAAAGGACAAACGTTTCAGTGGTTCTGTTAAATTGCCACACATTCCCCGTCCCAAGATGAAGGTCTGCATGCTTGGTGATGCTCAGCACGTGGAAGAGGTACGGAACATTTTCTTTTACCCCTATTTAGAGGAAAAGATTGGCTAGCTCATTAAGTTTATTTTCGGTCACACTGATGTTAATTATTTGTCCGTTATGTAAAGATTAAAACATTTAAATTTATGTAAAACTGTTTAAACAGCTGACTGTATATGTATACTTTTTTTTAGAATACTTCTGAAGTTTCCAGTTAACGCCAAACATAAGAAATTACATTTCCTTGTCAATTTAATTTTGTTAGTTCCCCTGTTGTTTTCTGGGATCCAATTCATATTGGTGCGGAACTTACCTTGCAGGCGGAAAAAATTGGTATGGAGTATATGGATGTGGAAGGGCTGAAGAAACTCAACAAAAACAAAAAGCTGGTGAAGAAGCTTGCAAAAAAGTACCATGCCTTCTTAGCATCTGAAGCTGTGATCAAGCAAATCCCCCGTCTCTTGGGCCCTGGTCTTAACAAAGCAGGCATGTAATCNCTTGTCAATTTAATTTTGTTAGTTCCCCTGTTGTTTTCTGGGATCCAATTCATATTGGTGCGGAACTTACCTTGCAGGCGGAAAAAATTGGTATGGAGTATATGGATGTGGAAGGGCTGAAGAAACTCAACAAAAACAAAAAGCTGGTGAAGAAGCTTGCAAAAAAGTACCATGCCTTCTTAGCATCTGAAGCTGTGATCAAGCAAATCCCCCGTCTCTTGGGCCCTGGTCTTAACAAAGCAGGCATGTAATCCATTCTTGAAGTTGGGTTTCGTTCATACACGTGTTTCTTTGAGTTTTTAAATGAAAAATATAATATTTTTGGCTTTTTCATATATATGATCTCAGGAAAGTTCCCAACATTGGTCACTCACCAAGACTCCTTAGAGAACAAAGTTAATGAGATTAAAGCAACAGTGAAATTTCAGTTGAAAAAGGTGCTCTGCATGGGGGTGGCTATTGGTAATGTGTCCATGGAGGAGAAGCAAGTGTTTCAAAATGTTCAAATGAGTGTCAACTTTCTTGTCTCTCTCCTCAAGAAGAACTGGCAAAATGTAAGTTTTTTCGTTCCTTCTAAATTCTGGATGTTCTTTTTGAAACCTATTCTATGGCATCGCTCCCCTTTTTCACTATGCTTTGTAAATGTTTGATTTCGATGTGTAAGTATAATCATATTAGTTCCAATGCCCCATAAAAAGAGTCCTGCTTGAAGACTCCTCTTTTACTAAAAAAAAGTCATAATTAAAAAGGGTATTGGGAAACAGTGGAGTAAACCAACAAAGGATTTTACCAAAAAACTAAAAAAATAAGTTCACATGACTTGCCAAAAGGTACTTTTCATCATACCAGTTGTTTTTGCCGAACTTGTTAAATATGTTAAATTTAGTAAACTTTAAAGAAAATTTAAAAATATAGCAATAGTTGACAACATTTTCCAATAGTTGTCTCCATTGTTAAAAAGGGTTCTTGACTACAACATAAGTTGATTCACTGTCTTTTGTTGTCAAAACAGGTGAGGTGCCTGTACTTGAAGACTACCATGGGAAGGCCAATTCGAGTCTTTTAAGTTAGTTTATGGAGTGTATTTCTGTACTGCTCAGATTTCTTGTTCCTCTCCATCAGAAATTTTATTTCCTTTTTTTTAATTGAGTTTTGACAGTATCATGGATTCTGAGCAAACATTTACTGGTTGTTATCATCCGATATAGTGAATTTAGATTGGAAGTACTCCCTCTATCTAGGGATGTAAACAAATCAAATACTTTAAATTCGATTCGCGATTTGTATTCGAATATGATGATTCGAATTCACGTTATTCAAATACAAATTCAAATTCAAATATTATTTTTGATTCGAATATTAATCAAATACAAATACAAATAGGGATATATTTGATTCGGATGATATTCGAATATTCGAATATATGTATATATACACAGACCATGTTTTCAACATCAAAAGTCAAGCAAAGTAATATAGTATAAAGTGTATTTAAAATACTAAGAATTCAATAAATTAACATAACACGAAAATCTAAAGCATATGATTTTTAATAGTTATATTTTATAAAATATAATTTGTGTAAGATGCAGATGTATTAATGTTTTTATATACCAAATATAGTATAGTATAAATAGTATCGTAAGTTAAATTACAAATTGATGTTGGTCCATCATATAAATTACATAGTATGATTATTCAAATAT